TAGTAGCGTCCTCAGGAGCCCCTAGTAGCGTCCTGTGCTCCTAGTAGTATGGCCAGGAACCCCTAGTAGCGTCCGTTGCTCCTAGTAGTAAGGCCAGAAGTGCCTAAGAGCTGCGCCCACTCAGGTTATCGTACTCAGGGCTTAGTGTCGTGGATGACCTTGCTCTGCTTCGAGAAAACGGTCTGGAGAAGCAAGGCGCTTCACACCATGATACTGAGAGCCTGGGATCGGAAGAGAGGCTTACAAGGATCCGGTGTACAAGGAAAACAAAGAGCAAAAAAACAGGTCTAAAGGCCCAAATGAAAAAGAATAGAAACATGTCAAAAGAGAAGAGAAAACATGCCTGTCGAGGTCTAAAGACACAAAAGTAGGGGACAAAAAGACATCCCAAACATTTGATATTGAAGAAGCAAGACGAAAAGAACACGTTGCATTTTTGGCGTTCTGTGCCGATTTCCATGTGGCGGGGTGATGGGTCACGGCCCACGCATGGCCCAGTGACCTGACCAAATGCCCCCCTTCCTCCGCATGGCCCAGTGTGGCCTGGGCGGCCAAGACCACAAGGGTACGTAGAAGTACTTATATATGTCGGTATGCTTCGGTGAATCTGAAAGGCGTTTCTGGAGTGGTGGCTGAGAAAAACACCCGAGTGTTCTACTGCAACAAGCTGAGTTATTCTTTCGGAATGGATCCAGGCTCTATACTATATGCCTTTCTAGGTGGAAATTCAGGACAAACCTTTATCTTAAAACAACACCTAGCAGTTGGGCTTCTGTTGCTGGTCAAGGCAGCACATTGTCAAGGCAGCACATTGTGTGAACAAAAACCATTAACTTCATCACATCACTTCACATCACCCATAGAAACAGCGCCGAGGATTTATGGCTTGGACGCTCTTCGTGACCTTGCTGGAGTTCCTGCTGGTGGCCGATCCCAGCTCGGTCGATCCACTGAAGTTCTCGGAGATCACCACGGTCATGACGGCAGCTGGGATCAACCAGACACTGAGACCCACTTGAGGCATCTGCCCTGATGCATCTTGAGACCCTGAAAGGAAGTCATTCTTCTTTTTTTTTCGACTGATGTCATCCTTGGAAGCACGTGAAGTTTAGACATCAATGAGGTGTCGCAGGTGCCTGTATTGCACAATTCTTCTGTTCTCGTCAACGCAGTGTACGCACAGTTAATAACTCTTTCAGAGAGCTTTGGATGACGTGATGTTCGCTCCCCCGGAATTGTTCAAATCATTTTCGGCTCAGGGCTTGTTCAAGGAAGCTTCACCTGGTAGCTTCCGGAAGCTACCAACTTCACCTCAAAAGTTCTCAGCCTACCCCCTCGCAGCCGTAAAGACAAGCATAAGAAGAGGTCTTTGTCTCGTTGCTCTTGGGCTTTTTCATCACCAACTCGGTGGCACGATGGACTTCCTGTGTGGAGTCCTTCTTGGGCCTGTTTGAGGCAGGGTCCACATGGACATGTGAAGTCTGGGAAAGGGACATGAGCCATTCTGTCAAATCTCGGGGAGTCACCCTGCGAGCTTGAATCACATGTGGACCGCTGCACATCAACCAGTCGACACGTAGCCTTCTGCATGCCGTTTTGATAGCAAAACAGGCGGAAACCGTTCCACGAAACTCATCACGTGGTTTTGGACTCCTCCAGGCGATCAGGGCCTTGCAGATGCAGTTGCCTGGTTTGAGATGCCTGGTTGGTCGCCATGTGTCGCCCCAGTCGCCAAAGACATTGCGGTTGTACTGCAACCGGTGTCGCTGGAAGAGTCAGGACTCAGGACTCTACGCTCCACCACTTGGTCGCCATAAAACAGACAAGTAGATACAAGTAGTTTGTACGTTTCAATCATCCTCTTCCTTGCAAAGCTGGGGAATTCTGGGACATCTTCATTCCAAAGCTTCATGCCTTGGGCCTTGAGTGCAGGGGGGGCGAGCCTGGCATATAGCCTGGCATATGTGGAGGAGAGTCGCACGGTAGCCGTTTCTTCATACACCTTCGCCCCATGATTCCAGGTTTGAACAGGTCAAGGGACATATCCGCCATGGGGGCATGTGGCTGTTTGGGGCATGTGGCTTATTGTATACTTAGTTTCTTAGAGGGTTTTAGCTAGGTCAGGTGGCATGCAAAGGATCTAGATTCCGTCGATCGATCAGCAGATCTTCAGGAGTTACATCTATTTGTCTCGGTGGACTTATGTAGATGGTGGGGCGCCCCAAGGATCCAACGCGGCCCCGGAACATCGAGATCCCCTTGATCCCTGACCCAAAAAACACCGGAATCCTTCCCGCGGATCTATCTCGATCGGCCGGGCTTTCCAAGCTCGATTCCGTGCCACCCCCGCTGGGTCCAACGCCACCTCGGCCGCCTCGGCCGGCCGGGGGAAGGGTGGTTCCGTTAGGCTGCATGCCTTGGGGGTGAGCATCGTGAAGATCGACCGGCCGGTGCGGTATGGCTTGGTCTCAGCCGCTGGGTTGCGCATCTGCGGAGAGAGCGGCGGAGAGGAGGAACGGTGCGGAAGAGACCGGACCTGGATGACGTGATTTGCCGTGAGAAGAGGGGCGAAAAGCCTGGATTCAGAGGCCAAGTCATTGGCCAGGTCTGAAAGCATTTAGCCTGATACTTGATACTTGCCAAGATCTTTTCAAGCTGGCCATTGAGATCCATGTGCCTTTGTTGCTGTGGCAGCCAAGGCATGGTTGTTGGATCGAACACTACGCACCTTGGATGAGAGAATTTCGACCGAGCTTCTGTCCCCCACACTGGAGTGGAGAGGGCAAGGGCAACTCCAGAGGGTTCAGGGTTCAGTGTCAATTCTTCAGGTGAGGATCGACGAGAGGGCTTGCCTGATAGAATATGGGACCAGCAGCCTGGCCAAGAAGGAAAGGCCGAGAGCGCACGGCCAGCCTGCGCGCGCGGCCAAGCTGGATCATACTGTGACATGAAGTGCCCTGAGTCGATGGAGGAAGGATCTGTGCGCGACTAAACGTAAGCATCAACATGTCATGGTGCGCATGCAAAAAAAAGGTACCAGGTACAAGGATGGCTCATGATGCCTCAGAGTACGCACCCCCCCATGAACCTTCAGAGTTTTTCGGCCACTTCTTTACCCCCAAAAGACCTCGGAATTCCGTGACCACGAGCCGATGCATCGCGTTTGAAGTTAGGTCGCCGTCCGCGGCGCCACCGGGTCCGCGGGTTGATTTTCAGGCTTATAGAGCTGAAGGATCCCCTGCTGCATGTGACAGCCACGCGGCAGCGATGACGGGGACGAAACGAAGTGACTTGGGGATATGATGTGAGAGGTTGGCCGTAAAGGGCGTTGCTGTAGAAACATTGCAGCCTTCCGGCATGGGAGACACGCCGAAGCTTTGCACAGCGTAGCGAACAGCACATGGACAATCTAAGGACAAGGAGCTTGAGGACCGCAGTGATCGACTACTCCTTGTTACTACTAGTAACGAGTGCCACGCTAGTAGTAACAGGTGCCTTACTAGTAGTAACAAAGAAGCCAGTAGAAACAATAAGCTTATGTCTGTAGATTTTGAATCAAACTATGCCCCGCTACGATCAGACACCCATGCCATCTGTGTACTACACCATTCCCAACAGCCAGAGCAGCACCTGCTGCAGCCAAAGCTTTCCGTTTGCGTTTTCCTGACGTTTTCCTTGACCAAGCCACCCGAGATCCTTTGCGCCACCTCTGTGCCACCTGAGATTTTTTGCTTTTCAGTTCCCGGAGGATCTGAAAAAAATGGCAGATCCGGCCATTCAGATCTGGGTTTGGGTGGCTTCCTTCTTGGGATCCCTGGCACAGGAGGGTGAGTCTCTTGGCATGGATTGCTTGTGTTTTTTTGGTCTCCGGTCACCCTGGAATGAGTGAAGAAGGGCTCTAGTGGGAGGTGTGCCAGAAAACGAAGGATGATCTTGAGTAAAAAGAAAGCTCTGAGGTTACTGTATATATATATATTATGTATACCTGCTTCCTTCAGCATCTAGGAACCAGACTAACCAAGTGAAACTCTTCTTTGTTGCCCTGAGGCGGGGGTAGCTTCCTTGAAGCCAAAAGAGAGTGCGCCTTGGGAAAGTAGCTAGACTTGAGCTACCAGCCTCCAACCTGCTCTAGTCCCCCAAAAAGGCCATCAGGATTCCAGACGGCCTATGAGGCAGCCAAGGCGGCCCTGCACGACTGCGCCGCAACAACATTTCGCGTTGTCGATGCCGAGGATTCCTCCCATGGCAAGCCCGATCTACGGAAGGCTGTTGCAAATCGTGAAGCCTTTTGGATGCCTTGGCAAGTGGCCAAACTTGGTAGCTTTTTGTTAGGCCAGGAGCTACGTTCGTAGCTTCCTGCTCCGTTCGTAGCGATGCCCTTTGTTACGTTCGCTTTTTCTTAGGGGTGGTCCCTCCATCCAAGGTCTATCGGCCAGGTCTATCGGCCCCCTTTTTTTGTCAGGTCGATCGGCCCACCAGTTCGCGGCTCCCGCCTCTGAACCGCAAGGTCAGCGCAAGATTCCATGAAGCAGATCCGGGCCGTACGCAGCTGGGCCGAGTGATAGCTAGCGAATTTCCCAAATGGATCCTTAAGTCGATGGGTACCGCCACCTTGTTGTTTTGCCTCGTTCATCGACAGGTCCACAGTTTGTTTTATCTTCTTAGTTGAGTCACTTCACCCCAGGAGAGGTGCAGGTGCCGTATGTTTACACCCATACCCTCGCAGCAGTCGTTCACGTGAGTTGCTCGGCAGCAGCTTTAACTTTCAAAAGGTTTCACATTTTTGCGTCCAGTTCTTGTGGATGGCCGGTAAGTTATGTCCAGGCAATATGCTATGTGCGACAAGCATGGGCCTTACTTTAGGCCAGGCAATGGGTTTCCTCGCGTGTGGTTCCTTTTCAAAGCGTCCCATATGCTCGTGTTTTCAGATGCTCAGCTGAAGCAAATCCTTCAACCAACCGTGCGGGAAGAGCATGTTCCGATGTGCGAGGAAGCTGCCTGGGGTCCATTTTGGCACATATCGATTCGCGTCTCACTCTCTATGGCGCCAGAGGCTCAGAGCACCAGCAGGTGACTTGGAGTCACAGGTGTTTAGGCTGCTTGACTAAGGTGCAGCCTCAACCCAACCACTCGGCAGACACAGACTTTCAGGTGCTTATCATCCAATTCTTGCTGCTTGGATTCCAGATGTTTTGATGTAGTGGTGGATGACAGTGTGCGGCAAGAGGCCATCAGGGAGAAGCAACATCTAACAGATTCTAACAGTCAAGGTGAGTGGAATTCAATCAACACTTTCCAGCAGTTGATTCGATGCGATTTCATGCTTTTGCAATCTTTTGCAGTTGGCACGGCATGCCCGTGTTTGAGCAATGGATCTCCTGATGGTGAGTGCCGCATTCTGCCCACCAGGAAGTGCTTTTTTGCACCTGTCCTCTACCAAGCTTTCCTGGAGATAGGACGGGCTTGTGCTCACATCGTGGTGGCATATCACACTGACTTACCTCTTTTGAGAAAGATCGCTACAATCGCCAGCGTTGTTGGGGATTCTGACCATTCATAATTACAAGCTAAAAGAGACACTGTGTTCCCCACCCTGGGCCCAGCAAGGACATCTATCCCCAGATGGACACTTTGCGCGGTATCTTTGTTGAGCGTTTGGCCCAAACCGGCACCCCTTCCGCTAGGCTTTTGCGTCTCCACCCCCTTCGGGGCTGGCGCGGAATCCGCACGGTTGCCCATCGACGATCTCCTTGAAGGCTGGTGGATGGGGATGGACCACTCAGCGTGGTTGACTGACTCCTAGTAGCTTCTTGTTCCTAGTAGCGAGGCCAGGAGCCCCGTGAGAAAGGCGTCCGATCGCTCCGTTCGTAGCGATGCCCAAAATGCTCCGTTCGTGGGGATCCCTTTTCAATCCTGTAAAGATTGCTAAGTCTTCCAGCAATGGGCAGACGAAGCGAAGCATGTGCTGTCGTCTAGGATCTTCCAAAGGGATGGCGAGAGCTCCCCTTCTTTTTCAAAACAGGGGACCACCAGAGTGCGTATTTTATGTGTTTTTGCTGCCTACTTCCATCTATGTGCTACTGTGGCCTGCATTCATGCTATGTGTCTGTGAAAGCTGCCTCAATGTCCATTTCACTGGAAAACAAACACAAACAGTCTCGAGAAAATATAGAGAAAACAAAAAACACATTGAAAACACACAAAAAAACGAAAAAACATAAACCACAATAAACAACAAAAACACCTTGAGACAACCAAAAAAAACACAAAAACAAAAAACATCAAAAAAACAAACAAAACCAATTCTCAGAGACTCTTGGCTGGACCCCCCCCTTTCCTCAAGACTTCCCCAGAATGTTTTTTTGTTGTTTTTTTTTTGGCGTTTCGTAGGTTGTTATTGGTTTTCTCAAGGTTTTTGTTTTTTGGTTTTCCTATTTAGGTCAATCTGTGTTCTTACTATTTCGTTCAACCTTCAAGTATGCGAGCCTAAGTCTCACCTAAAGACATATGTTCTTTGCCCTTACAATGAAAGTGTCTGAGCCCACCACTCCCTTTGTCCTTGTCGAAATCTCCATGTACAAGTCTGTGCATTAACTTCTGATTGGTATCACATATATAGTTCAATACAAGTTTAGTTGAAATTCGGTTTTAATTCAGCTCTATCTTAGCTTTAACTCAAATCCAATTTAATACTACCTAATTCTATTCTAGCTCCAGTCTATTTAGTTTAAGAAAACACATGCTACAAAACCCCATGTTTTACAGTTCTTTTTTGACCTGGGAGTGCTGGGAACAAGACTAAAACTCTTTTTTGACGTAAATAGTTAGATTTTGTTTATTTAAAGTAATCACTGGAAATAATTTAGACATATTAAAATTGTTTTATGTACAAGCTTCTAATTCAAGAGCTTCCCTCTAGATCTCTGGGGATGATCATTTCTACAATAAAAATATACAAAAGCTTTCATTTCGAAAGCTTTCCTCTTCTGGATCTCTGGAAATGGTCATGTCAATTTAAACATGCTATATATCAATAAATATGTTTTTCTTTCAAGAGCTTTCATTTCATGAAAACACACATATGTGGGATATCTACTTTCCCAGAGATCCAGAGGAGAACTTGGAAAATGCAAGCTCTTACGCGCAGAAATCTAGAATAACGCTTTTAACATACAAGGTTTCTATATAGTTGTTTAAACCTAAAAATGATTATCTGCAGAGATCTATAGAGAATCTTGTGTAACATAAAAGCGTCTATATAAAATCTTTCCAAATCTAAACATAACTATAAGCAGAGATCTAGAGACACTTTTATGGCCTGCTTCTTTCCTAATTGTTTTGTTCAAAACCATCTGAACCTGCTTGCTGCTTCCAAAACAGTAAAATGAACCCTGATTCAGGAATACGTAACATATTTGTTCATATAGAGAGAGCAGGAATAGATTATATATATATGTGTGTTTATATGGAGAGGGGCTACCACTGAAGCATTTACCTAAACTTTTGGGAAAACCAAAACCCAGGCCCCATGTTAGAGTAGAGTGGTATCTTCTGCCCTAGAGTGAAAACAAGCATTTTTGCATATCTTGAGCAAATGATACCAAACACTTTTAAAAAAACAATAAAAAAAACTGCACTCTCACAGTCCCCTGCTCTCTTCTTTTCGTGAGGATGGCTGGAGGACCTCAAGCATGCCAACAGAATGGCCGTCGCCCCTCCTGGATGGGAGGCGCCCTGCTTTAAGGGCCGAGCAGCTGCGACGACCGGGCCGGGGAGTCCAGCAGTGCCTTCCTTGAAACGAGTGGAGGAGGCGAGAGGCGAGGCGAAGTCCCAAGTGGTGGATGCCCTGGATGCGACTTGGATGCTCGAAGCGTTGGGTGACGCGACGAACGGGGCGCGACGAACGGCCTTACTAAGCCTTACCACTAGGAGCAATTTCGCTACGAATGGAAAGGGCATGGCTACTAGGAGCAAGGACGCTACTAGGAACAAGGGATGCACATCAGAAGCCTTGGTTTTGGTGCATCTATTGACCCTTGGTGGAAGATACGTTTGAAGAGCTCAGGTGGCTTCCTTGACGCCACAAGCCTCACCACGGACAGGCACGGTACTGGCGTTTACCAGGGCTCTTGACGACAAGCCACATCAATCCAATCGGATGAACGACAGCACCACAACATTCAATACACTGCACTGGGCAGTTCCCATGATCGAGAGACAGTGGTTTCATCATCATCATCATCATCATCATCATCATCATCATCACCTACTGGGTGGTGGTTTCAGATATCTTTATTTTCAACCTTTACTTGGGATGATTGAACATCTTGAACCCACATGTCCTCATATGTTGAAGCCAACTAGCCTGTGCTCGATCTACACCTGTGGTGCGCAGGCAAGAAAAGCCCCAGGTCTGCTTTGCGACGAGCTGCCACGTCTGGAGGCCACGTCACGTCAGACGTGTGGTGTGGGTTGTGGGCGAGAAAACGGTGAAGAATCGACGCGGGTTTGGGCAGATACATGTAGAATCTACAGAAAAGCTATTTGATGGTCATGTAAAGCTACCATTGCCAAACCTACATGTAGATACTTAGTAGTTGCCACCTGCAGTTCATTCCATCAAGTCAGCGTTTTGAATAGAAGAAGACACATGGAAAGGCAGCACAGGAAGGCCTTTCCGAAAGGGCACTTCAAGGCTTGAAGCCATCCCGTGCGACTGCAGCGAAACTGGCAGGTGTGATGATGCCAGAAGCGGAAGCGGAATCAGAGCCTGAGTTACGGCGTGCCGCCGCGTCAGGGACCTTCTAAGAGCACCAGAAAAGCCGGTGGAACATACCGGGTGAACGGATGAGAGCTGCCCGATTTATACTCCTTTTGAACGGAAGAGCCATTGCCCGGACTGCAGGACTCCTGGGTCCCGCAGGGTGCTGTAACATGTGTAGCATGATCTTTCGAGGTTAGGCGATGGCATAACTATCTAGTGAGATGGCCTCGAGTGGGCCAAATCCCCACCCCAAGAGTGCCAGGAAGTCATTTTTCCGAAGCTCTCTTCTTTGGCAAGTTGAAGTCTTCGTCGCTTGCTCCAATGAGCTCCTGGCCTCGAACCCCTGGAGCTTCAGACTGCGGCGTAGCAGCCTCGCCTCGCGTGAAGAAATGTGTGCGGCAGCGAACCGTGCAACATGCGAGCCGTGCAACCGCCACGTGGCGACCTATCAGCACAACATTGCAGCACCGCAGTCGAAAACTCATCTCTCTTCTCTGTTGGCCCCCAGAATTGGTTTTGTACTTAGGACATCTTAGGACAACGGCAGTAGGTTTTGCAATCGGATGCTGATTTATGGCTGAGGTCTGGGGCTGGTGGGGCTGGACGGCACTGGCATGTTTAGCACACGGTCACCAGATTTGATCATGACTCCATTGTGCCAGGTTGGGGCAAGAGCCCAGAGTTTCAGCGAGGCCGGTCATACGGCGACAGGGTGAGCTAGCTCACCCTTTTGATTTCTCATCCTGGGATGCAAAACCTGCATGGCATGTGATAGCCTGGAGTGAAGAAGTAGACCTGTTCGTCCAACAGACCGCCCGTGTTGGACCTGCAGCGTCCCTGTGGTTGGACATGCTGTAGGCTTTGAAGGTTCTGACCGCAATGCATCCCGAGCAGCTTGGGATTCAGGCACCGCACACTAAAGTCATCTAAAGTCTAAATGGAATTGATGGAGGCTTGTGCAGCACAAGCATTTGACGCATTGAAGTGACTCCTTCCGCATTCCTGAGCGTTTCGCGACTTTCTTCGACCGCTCGCAGGTCGAAGGGGCGAGAGCCCAGAACGAAGTGACGCGTGGGCAGGCCGGACGGTGTTGTTGGCATCAAGCGAGAAAAAGAAGAGGAACTCCTGGCTGTATGATCTGGGAATGGGTCAAAACCTGGTCGCCCTGGTCGCCCTGGTCCACCATGTAGCGAACGACTTTCCCGGTGACCCACCACCATCTGTGTGGCATTGACTCGCGCCAGGATATTCCGAGGGTGGTGCTACAAGCAGCTCTGACAGAGGCCGAGCAGCTCTGTGGCTTCTCGTCGTTCTCCGTCGATTCGAGAATCCAGGATTCCCCCGGGTCGCCCGTGCAGTGAGCCCACCAGTGCATCGAAGTGATGGCCCGCATCTCGAAACTCTTTGCTGCTGCTGATCCGAATGCGGTGGAGCGAGCGCGAAGCTGGCAGGAGCACCTGCTCCTCGCTTCACGGCCAACATCAATGGCACCAGCACAGGCTGAAAGCAAGGGGAATGGGAATGGCATGTTTTCTTTGCGCGGCTTGCAGTCTGCCCTAAGGTCAGTAGGACAATTGAAATCCTGAATCCTGCTGCCATGGAATGCAGTTGCACAATGTAACTTAGTGCAATCGAGTGCAAGTTACTGCAAGTTGCCTTTGTGCTTTGCAGTATGTTTGGTGGAGAACATGCAGCGAGTTTCAAAGTAGCTACACTTTGACTGAAGCATACTGAAACCGCCTTTAAACTTACCATTCACCAGAGTGTTGCTTGTTCTTTCGTGTCTCATTTTTGACCCACTCTTTACACCCTCTTGCTGCAGGTGCAGGTGTCCAAGCCCGCATTGCCCGAAGTAGTCGCGTCCTCGGCAACAGTTCTTCAAATCGGCCGACGCAGCAAGTTTTGCTGATTTACTTCTTGTTACTACTAGTAAGGCACCTGTTACTACTAGCGTGGCACTTGTTACTAATAGCTTCTTGTTACTACTAGTAAGGCACTTGTTACTAGTAGCGATGCCCTTTGCTCCTAGTAGCGTCCTTGTTCCTACCCCCCCTCGGCGTCTTCAAGGCGAGTTTCAATTTCTGCCGGTTGAGGCAGTGCACCCCGAGGATTTGCCATGGCCAGAGAGTGAATGTAGTGGCTCATGGTGGCTCATGTTGATTCTGTGAGCATTTCTCAACAGTACACGTATGAATATACCTCAGACTCCTCAGGTTCCCAGCAGCTGGTCTCCGAACAAGGGTGCTGGACGAATTTCAGGCCGAACAATGTGTCGCCAATGAGTGGCCGATGTGCAGACAGCAGAGTTCGTAGAATCTTGCCACAAAGCCATCGCTAGTAGGCTGGAGGCCATCGCTAGTAGGCCCATCGCTAGTAGGGTGCCAGTAGGTTGGAGGCCATCACTATTAGGTAGGAGGCTGTCGCTATTGGGAGTAGGAGGCCATCACTACTAGGGTGGAGGCCGTCGCTAGTAGGTTGGAGGCCATCCCTAGTAGGTTGGAGGCCATGGCTACTAGGCTGGAGGCCATCGCTATTAGGTAGGAGGCCGTCGGTAGTAGGTATGAGGCCATCGCTAGTAGGTTGGAGGCCATCGCCATCGCTGTACGCTGGAGGCCATCGCTAGTTGGTTGGAGGCCATCGCTAGTAGGTTGGAGGCCATCGCTAGGTTGGAGGCTATCTCTAGTTGGTTGGAGGCCATCGCTAGTAGGTTTTGGAGCAGGTGCCAACATCTTGCCACAAGGTCGAAGTCGACAAGATGGAGCAGGTGTGGCAGGTGTGGGTTCCACGCTCCTGTGTATTGCACCGTGTGTGCATTGCCGTGAGGGTGCAACCAAGCAAACACGGTTGTGAGTTGTGTTCATTGCCAAGGTCCAATGAGGCCAAGGGGGCCAAGTGAGGAGAGAAAGAGGCAACCGCCGAGAGCACGTAACTTGAGCACCTGAAGAGGATGATCTTAGTCTGGCGGATGCACCATAGGTCGGCTAACGAGGCAAAGCACGATGGAGATTTTGGAGGAATCAGTTGAACTTTTAAAGTAAAACCGGGCAAGAACCACTTTCACTGTTTCCCTCGAAAGACTTTGAATGAACTGAGCGACGTTGAGGATGTCAGTGCCATACTCTGAGAAGAAGTGGATCAGAAGAGATGGAACCGAAGTGGATGTGATGCCGGCAGAACTTAAAAGTTCTGAATGGTCTCATCTCACAGAGGGCACAGATGAAAATCTCTTTGGCGCCTTCGATGGTTCTTAAGGCCTTATTAGGCCACCTGGAAGCAAAGGACCAAGAGCCTTTTAAGGTGGTTTATACCCGCAACTCTGCACCAATGCTACTAGGTGGGAGGCCATCGCTAGTAGGTTGGAGGCGATCGCTAGTAGGTTTGGAGGCCATCGCGTTTAGGTGGGAGGCCATCGCTAGTAGGTTGGAGGCCATCGCTAGTAGGTTTGGAAGCCATCGCTAATTATTAGGTGGGAGGCCATCGCTATTAGGTGGGAGGCCATCGCTAGTAGGTTGGAGGCCATCGCTAGTAGGTTTGGAAGCCATCGCTAATTATTAGGTGGGAGGCCATCGCTAGTAGGTTGGAGGCCATGTCTATTAGGTTCCTTAACTGAGATGTGGGTTAAGCATGACTTGTTTTCCACATGTTCCCACACGTCCGCAGCCTATTTCATACAGTCATCGAGCAGCGTCACACGTGCCATGGGGATCTCGTCCGAGACCTTGGCCTTGCAAAATAGCGTCACTTCCGCAGCCATCATCGAAGAGCTGCTTGGAGGAATCTCCCAGTGTTTGTGGTCAATGCCGGTCGAAAAAAAAAGCCGCTGGGCTTCCATACGCAGTGCCCCTCCCTTCTTTGCCTGGGTGCCAGGCACCGGTATGCGACGTTGGGTGCCGCATAGTGCTCACCTTGATCCCAGGTGGTGTCTCTCCGCCCCCAAGGTTTAAAGAGGATGCAGCCTTTAAGAAGTTGGCCGAGCGATTGATGGCAGAGATCATGCGCCGGGACCAAGAGGATGGCGACAAGCTGGCCAAGGGGATCCAGCTGGCGGTCGACAAGAAGGCCACATCTTCAGGGGCTCCATTTGACCAATTTGACACCATGGGGTGATACGCGGTGGCTGTGATCATCAACAGATTCTTGGGACGGGGGGTCGTGATGTTTGGGTCACACCAGCAGCCCTTGGGCTCCCGGTGTGGTGGACGTTGGTGGACTTCGTGAAAAGGACCAGACCAACACCAACACTGTTTAGCATCTAGTTTGATGCTGCAACCATGTGCTCCTGTCAAGGCGGTAGGTTGATGAGTCTTGGATCCCCAACTTGCTTCAGGTCTTGCCTGCAGATGTAAAGGTTGAACCAACCACCAAAATCAGCGTCTCCGGAAAGAGTGCTGCTTGACTGCAAGCCTAAGCCCATGGTGAACATGATTTTGTTGACTTTGGTGAGTATCCTTGAGTAGGTTTCAGAGTTTTATCAATTCAGTTTGTATGGGTTCGTAGAAGCCAGTCACTAGGGCCATAGAGGAGAATGGCCGACATATGCTTTTGTTGGCTGCTGCTGCTGCAGAGACGCCTAGCTTTTTTGTGTTGCGTCAGCGTGTTCCTCATCAAAAACTTCCATGTCGTTTCTGGTTTGGGGCTTCTTTGGTCTTTGGTGAGCCGAACAATCCAAGGCGGACAAAGTCGCAGATGAAATTGTTGCGTCCCTGGGTGATGCTCCCTCAAAGGGATGCTTGGCTTGCTTTTCCACATCCATATCCATATCATTATCCATATCTGTCGGTCTGTCTATCTATATGGCTATCTATCTACTGTCGATATTTTAGATTTTTGCAGACATCAAGTGCCTTTTCCGTGTCGTCGTGCCAGCCGTGTCGTGTGAATTCTGACTCTGCTGGCGTGACGGTCCTCTGCATGACACGCCGCCCTCGCTGTCCTCAGGATGTGTCATGACGCTGCAAGGGCTGTCGGGCACTGGCAAAGGTACCACCGTAGAGAAGCTCAAGGAGAAGCTCCCCAATGCGCAGACCTGGAGTGGCTTGATGAA